TGTTTTCACTCTCTTTCTGAAGGCCAGGAGGGAAGGGGCTGATCTAATATCACCAGGGAGGGAGTTCCACAGCTGAGGGGCCACCACTGAGAAGGCCCTGTCTCTTGTCCCCACCAATCTCACCTGCGAAGGAGGGGGGACCAAGAACATTGCCTCCCCAGTTGATCTTAATTTCCGAGCTGGTTCATAGGGGAAGATGCATTTGGACAGGTAAGCACTTTGAATTGTGCTCAGTAGCAGACTGGTAGCCAGTGGAGCTGACACAACAGGAGAAATGTCCTGTCTCTGTATGCCACTCTGGTGAGTAATCTGGCTGCCGCCCGTTGGACCATTTGAAGCTTCTGAGCAGTCTTCAATGGCAACCCCACATAGAGTATGTTGCAGTAGTCCATTCGGGATGTAACCAGAGTGTGGACTACTGTGGCCAAGTCTGACTTCCCAAGATCTGGGCGCAACTGGCTCACAATGTTTATTTGTGCAAAAGCTCCCCTGGCTACTGCCAAAATCTGGGGTTCCAGGCTCAGCAATGAGTCCAGGATCACTCCCAAGCTGCAAACCTCTGATTTCAGGGGGGAGTGTAACCCCATCCAACACTGGCTGCAACCCTATACCCTGTTTGGCCTTATGTCTTGTCTGTATTGAATTTCAATTTGTGCGTTCTCATCCAAACCAGGTTTTCTGTGGCTTTTTTGTCACTTGTAGGGATTAGTTGACCCCCAGAAGGAACTCTTCAAATTGACATCTCGGCAGCAGAAACTGGACCGGCAGCTGGCAGATCTCACAGTACGGATGGAAGAGAGCAGGTATCAGGAACAGGTCTCCCTCAAGGCCAGGACTGCCCACCAGCAAAAGGTAATGGCTGTCTCTCAAAGCTTTGTAGAGTTCAATTCCAGGTCTGTCATTCTCAGAATCCTATCCAGGCAGTCCAAAAACCAGCAATGTTTCTAAGTCCTAATTAATTAATATCTTGTTGAAGAGGTGTGGGAAGAATTCTCCAATATTATTGGGTAACTATTCTTCACCTGTGTTGTCCATGCATGGATCACACAGGCAGGCTTCCAGTGGAAAATAAGTGTTGTTTTTGTCTTTGATTTCCATTCTGATACTTCGAAAACTATCTGGTAGGGAGAACTGTTGGGTTTCATCTCTGGACTGCACAAGTCTCTTGTGTTATCAAGTCCCCAGACTTCAGTGAGTAGATAGATTAGAAATAGGATTAGGCTGAGGGATTTGTCTTTCCTCCTCCTTGCCACTATCTCCTCCGCCTTTGAAGATGTAGCAATGGAATCTCTGTGAGGGAACTTCCTTTTTAAAGGTATTTTTTGCCCCCGGCTTAGCCATGTGGTCATTTGCCACCATTGTTTCTGTCTGCTTTTCCTTCCTTCTAGTGAGGATGCACGTTTTGCCTCTCTCTTTTAGGCAAAATGTAGCTGCATGGATTTTTTGAAACTTTTTTACTCTTGTACCTTTCCAAGAAGATGGGACTTAGTAAGCTAGACCTTTTCTATCTGGAATGTATTTCTTTTACTTCAATACATATTTTTGAACCTAAGGTTCTGACGTTGCAATTTTGTGCCATCCTAAGATATAGAAACTTATCTCAGCTCATCACATGTGAGTTTCTGCTGGTTATGAAGTTTGTTTCTGGTACTCTGCTATATTTATGGTGGAATCACCCAACTGGGGATTGTTTTTGATCCTAACAGCTCAGATTCCCCAAAAGGAATCTTGGTCTTTGTATGGTTTTTATAATATATGCCAAATGTTTTTAAACTGTATTTTTTGTTTGCCGTGGCATCGAATTGCTGCCAACATGTAAGCTGCCTTGAGTCGCCTTCGGGCTGAGAAAGGCAAGATAGAAATACAGTAAATAAATAAATAAAATATCAAATTATGTTACTGTATTACTTAACTCCAAACATCTGTAGAGAGGCACAGGATACAACTTTGCTAATGTGTGTGCGTTTGTTGCTGTCGTAATGATTACCATGATGTTATTGTTGGTGAGGTGTACTATAGATTTTAGTACCTTGCAAGGATCTATTATCTCAAAAAGGGTTAACCACAATTGCTATAGAGATATTTCCAAAGATTTTTAAAAAATTATTCCAGAAGATATTTGAATCACAGGCCATCACAACATGGATCAATCATCCAGTGACTCAGTATTTGTATACTTAATATGCACCTTTCCCTCACAGATCTCCTTGCTTCGCTCAGAGTTGGAGAAGGTGGAACAGGCTGTAACAACCTTTCAGAAGATGACTACGAAGTAAAGATTGCGTCTGGATAGGAACGAGTAATGAGAACCAGCAAAATTAAATGTATTCCAGATAACTGGATACATGCTGAGACGGTAGAGACCAAGCACTGGGGAAACTGCTGGAAAGTTCATAGAGTCCTGAAGCAACACATTTTGTGATGGAGCTCATCTGCTGGGATCAGTGTGTACTGCCTTCGTTTGGCCATTGGGAGTCAACAGCTAAATTCTAGAACCTCTTTATGCAGACTTGCAACAAAACTCATAGAGCTTCCATAAAAGGGATATTTCTGTGTAGCAAAAGTCAACTATGGCTGCAAGGGTTGAGAGCCATAAGAACGTATAAAACTCTTGTTTGACCAGTAGTGGTCACTCTTTTGATTCAGGAAAGCCACATATTATTCATATTTCTTGGAAGATATAGCGTCAGATATTAAAATTTTCTCTGCATTCTGCCTCATTCTTCTCAAGTGATGAATTCACACACTGTGTATATATAATTCTGGTTTGGAATTGGCGATAGCGGCAGCCACTTGTCAGCGGTTCACCTAATCATGGATGTTGGAGCTTTGCTCTTGTGAGAGCATCAAAAAAGCTTTTGGGAAGCTGTTCAATATATTATATCAAAGTTTGCATGAGTTGTACTCCAGGAATTGTTAAAATACTTCATTTGGAGAAAAATTACACAAAGGACCATTGGCTGGTTATATTAATGATACAGATTTGAAAGATCCTGACTTTGAAAAAAAGGCACGTGTTACCAGAACTTGAAGTGAGATATTCGATGGTTTGAAATGTATATACTTTATTAAAATGAAATGGCAAAACCATCTCTTGAGTGT